TGGACTCGGCATCCATCAAATTTTTGGTGTCGTTGCCGAGGACTCGGTATTACTAACAGTTTATGCCTAGATCTTCATATAAAGGTTCATCTTTGCCAATAAATCTAGAAATCGAACGAACCGCAAAACGACTGAGGAAACAAGCCAAGTTTAGAAAGAAGTTTGGCGAGGGACCTTCATCACCAGGGTTAAATATCTTGCAAGATATTAAGCTATCGAGCGATTCGGACGAACAGGAAGAAAAGTACGACGAGGAAGACGAAAAGAAGGCAGACGCGATGGCTGCCGAACAAGACGAGCGAACTCTACGAGAGTTAGCGACACATGATGTTGCTCAGGTTCCTATCTGTATCAGGTATCCGCAAGGTAACACAAATTTTGTTTTAAAAACTGGTTTGGTCTACCTATTACCTTCCTACCACGGTTTGGAGAACGAGGACCCGAACAAACACTTCAAGGAATTCCATATGGTGTGTTTAAGCATGAAACCAACGAGGTTACGAAGGATCTTATAAAGTTAAAGGCATTCCCTTTTTCTTTAAAAGATCGGGCTAAAGATTGGCTCTAGTCGTTACCGCCTGGTTCGGTAATGACTTGGAACCAAATGGCGCGGTTATTTTTAGATAAATGCTTTCCCGCCTCCCGATTTGTTACACTCTGTAGAGAAATTTGCAGCATCAAACAAAGAGATGTGGAAACCCTCCATGAATATTGGGAGAGGTTCAAACATCTCTGCGTTAGTTGCCCGCAACACGGAATTTCCGAGCAACTTTTGTTGCATTATTTTTATGAGGGCCTTCTTCCTATGGAAAGGAAGATGATCGATGCCGCTAGTGGAGGGGCAATTTTTAATAAAACCCCAACTCAAGTGAGGGCTCTGATCACCACTATGGCTGAGAACTCTCAGCATTTTAGTGTGCGAGGTTATTTAAGGAGAGAGCCCCAAAAGATTAATGAGGTTAATAACGGTACCATTGAGAGTAGGTTATTTGATTTGACTAACCTCGTTAAACAATTAGTTATGGGTAAAGAGAAGGTTAAGGCATGCGGTATATACAATGGGGCAAACCATCTGACGGACACGTGTCCGCAACTCGAAGAGGATGTTTTGGTTGCACCTGAAGATGTCAACACCATCGCAGGCTTTCTAGGCCAACAACCGCATCAAAGGTTTTATAACCAGAGCTTTGGTGCCCAAATACCTTTGCAACAATTCCAGCAAAGGCCAATCCAGCAGCCATTCCAACAGAGAGCGTCGTTTCAGCCGAACAACCAAGCCTCAAGCAGTGCAGGTATGTCTTTATAAGATATTGTAAATCTCTTGCTACTAACACTCAATAATTTCAGCAAGAGACGATGACGAATATCCAGAATTTGGTAACCCAGAATCAAAGTTTAGCAGCCCAACAGAAGAATTTGGAAGCTCAAATCGGGCAAATGGTGATTTTGCTTAATCGCATTGAGAGCCAAGGTAAGTTACCGTCCCAAACTGAAACTAACCTGAAAGCTAATGTTAGTGTCATTACTTTGAGAAACAGGACGGTTCCGGATCCCGAACCCAAAGCAAGAAGGAGCGAGAGGAAAGAAGAGAAAGTGGCCGAGATTACGGGCGACAAGTCAAATAAAGACAAGGTTGAAGGTAAAAACATAGAGGACAAAGAAAAGAWGCCCGAATTGGTCATCCGACCACCATTCCCAAAGAGATTTGAGCAAACGAAGAAGGAGCAAGAAGACAAGGAGATTACGGAGACTTTTCGCCGAGTTAAGGTAAACATTCCACTCTTAGATGCTATTAAAAGAGTACCTCGATATGCTAAGTTTTTGAAGGAGTTGTATACGAACAAGAAGAAATTGACCGGGAACGATAAGGTTAGCATGAGCGAGAACGTATCTGCCGTGCTTCAAGGAGAAAAGATGCCACCTAAGTGCAAGGACCCAGGTATGTTCACTATTCCTTGTAAGTTAGGTAATGTTTCAATAGATAAAGTCATGTTAGACTTAGGCGCATCTATAAATATCATGTCTTACTCAATTTATTCATCACTGAATGTAGGACCTCTTTAGAGGACAGGAGTTGTAATACAACTCGCCGATAGGTCCAATGTATATCTCAAGAGAGTCATTGACGATGTGTTGGTTAAAGTTAACGAGTTGGTCTTCCCGGCTGATTTATATGTCATAGATATGGAGGAGCATAATACCTCCAAATCACCTTTGATATTGTTGGGAAGACCATTTCTAAAAACATCAAAAACAAAAATTGATGTTCATGATGGTACGTTAACTATGGAATTTGATGGTGAGGTCATTAAATATAAAATTTAATGCCATTAGATATCCCAGTGATGTGTCTTCTGCCAGTTTTGTTGATGTTTTGGATCCTATTACTCATGATTTGTATCACTTGACTAATCGAGATTTGTTGGAGGTTGCGATTATAAGGCACCTAGATGCAAGGACAATTAATTTGTTGATAAAGAAGTATTATTTAGGGCCCGAGCTTAAAGAGATGGTCTTAGCCAAGGAATCTAACCGACACAAAAGTTTCAGGTATCAATGTTAATTTACCTTCTTCTTACACTAAGTTATTTCCTTCTATTTTGCAGGCCCGATACTTGACTTGAAGGAGTTACAGGACCACCTCAAGTATGCCTACCTAGGCAAGGACAATACTCTACCGGTGATCATCTCTACTGAACTATCAAGCGAAGAAAAAAAATGGTTGGTGAATGTGCTTGAAGAGCATAAAGAGGCAATCGGCTGGACTATAGCTGATATCAAGAGATTGAGCCCCTCAGTTTGTATGCATAAGATTCTACTCGAGGATGACTATAAGCCTTTCTGTGAAGCTCAACGATGCCTCAACCCACCTATGATGGAGGTATTAAAAAAGGAGATCCTCAAACTCCTTGATGCAGGTATTATCTATTCAATTTTATATAGCAAATGGGTAAGCCCTGTTCAGGTAGTACCCAAAAAGACGGGTTTGACGGTAGTTAAGAACACCGAAGGTGAGTCGGTGCCTACTCGAGTCCAAAATGGATGGCGAGTATGCATCGACTATAGGAGGTTGAACTCGTCTACTAGAAAGGATCATTTTCCACTTCCCTTTATCGACCAAATGTTGGAACAATTAGCGAGAAAGTCTCAATATTGTCTAGATGGATACTCCGGTTTTCATCAAATCCCGGTAGCGCCAGGAAAATACTACTTTTACATGCCCGTTTGGTACATTTGCCTATAGGCATATGCCTTTTGGCCTTTGTAACGCACCAACTACTTTTCAATGTTTCATGGTAAGTATCTTTTTTGAGTATGTAAAGAGTATCATTGAGGTGTTTATGGATGATTTTACCGTATATGGTAACTCGTTTGAGGACTGTTTGAACAATTTGACCAAGATTTTAAAAAGATGCATAGAGACTAACCTTGTTTTGAATTATGAAAAATGTCACTTTATGGTTAGTCATAGTCTTATTTTGGGTCATATTGTTTCAAAGAAGGGTATAGAGGTAGACAACTCTACCTTACCCAACTTGTGTTAAGGAAGTTCGTTCTTCCTTGGTCATGCAGGGTTCTATAGGAGATTTATTAAGGATTTTTTGAACATAACCCGACCACTTTGTTGTCTCTTACAAAAGGACGTGGACTTCCACTTCGATGGTGAATGCAAGAAGGCATTCAATAAATTAAAAGATAAGTTAACTTCTGCACCCATAATTCAGCCCCCAAATTGGGATCTCCCTTTTGAGATCATGTGTGACGCGAGTAATTACGCGGTCGGGGCTGTTTTGTGACAGAAGTTTGGTAAGGACCCACACGTGAAATAATATGCTTCTCGGACGTTGGATAGTGCCCAAAGCAACTATTCAACGACCGAGAAGAAACTTTTGGCCATAGTATTTGCTTTAGAGAAGTTTCGTCAGTATTTACTTGGTACTAAATTGATTGTTTTTTCTGATCATGCAGCTTTTAAATATTTAATGAAGAAGAAGGATGCCAAGTCTCGCCTTATCCGTTGGATGTTGCTTCTACAAGAGTTCAACCTAGAGATTCAGGATAAGAGTGGATCAGAGAACTTGGTGGCGATCATTTGAGTTGTTCGCTAAATGGTGAGGATCCTTCTACCTTGAAGGATGAATTTTTGGACGAGCATCTTCTGACCGTTCAACAGACGACACCCTGGTACGCTGACTTAGTGAACTATCTAGTTACCAACACTTTGTCAGGTACATTGACTAGAACTGAAAAGGATAAGATTAAGAGTCAAGCAAAGTATTATATTTGGGATGACCCCTACCTTTGGAAGCATTGCTCTGATCAGATTATCAAGCGATGTGTCCTCCAACATGAAGTACAAAGTGCACTTCGATTTTGTCACGAATATGCTTGTGGGGGACATTTTGGTCCAAAGCGTACGGCACACAAAGTGCTTAATTGTGGATTGTTTTGGCCATCCATTTTTAAAAACGCTTATATGTTTTGCAAGAGTTGTGATAGGTGCCAAAAGACGGGGAATATTGGACCACAAAATCAAATGCCCCAAAACCCGATTTTATTTTGTGACATCTTTGATGTATGGGGCATTGATTTTATGGGACCCTTTTCCCGCCTCTTCTGGATTTACCTATATTTTATTGTGTGTCGATTATGTCTCGAAATGGGTGGAAGCTAAAGCCACCAAAACTGACGATTCTCGTACTGTTTCAGCTTTTCTTGGATTTAACATCTTTGCCAGGTTCGGCACACCAAGGGCCGTCATAAGCGGTCAAGGGACGCACTTTTGCAATAAAGTGATCAAGGCGCTGTTTAAGAAGTACCATGTCACTCATCGGATTTCAATCGCATACCGTCCTCAATCCAACAGGTAAGCTGAAATCTCTAACAGGGAGATCAAATCCATTCTAGAGAAGAACGTAAATCCTAATCACAAGGATTGGACCGAGCGTTTGGACGATGCTTTATGGGCCTACCATACGACCAACAAAACACCTATAGGTATGTCCCCTTTTCGATTAGTTTATGGTAAACCATGTCATCTACCTGCTGAACTAGAGCACAGGGCCTTTTGGGCTGTCAAGAAGTGTAACATACGGATGGATGACATGGGAGTTCTAAGGAAGCTACAACTTCAAGAATTAGAGGAAATCGGAAACGATGCATACGAGAGCTCTAAGATCTACAAGGAGTGGACCAAGGCTTTCCACGATAAGCTCATCTCCTAGAAAGAGTTTGTGGTCAGACAAAAGGTTTTACTCTTTCATTCACGCCTACAGTTGTTTCCCGGTAAGCTTAGATCACGGTGGGTTGGTCCTTTCATAGTTGTTAAGGTTTATGCCCATGGAGCAGTCGATATTGAAAGCCCGAAAACGGGTAAGTCGTTTAAGGTGAACGGGCATAGATTGAAACCTTTTTATGAAGGTTTTCAGTCTACGGACGTTGATGTTATGGCTCTTGAGCCACCGCCCGTTGTTAGTTAGGTTAGGTAGTGTCTAGCCAAAGACGTTAAAGAAAGGCGCTGATTGGGAGGCAACCCAATTTTTATTGCTTTATTTTCGTTCTAGTTTAGTTTCTTTTAGTTTTAGTCATCTTTCGAGATTGATGAGTTGATTTCCTAGGTTGTCTTGTGAGTATTGATGTTCCACCACACCCCCCCTCCCCCCCGGGTGCAAAGAGGCTTTTACCACCCGCTTGGACTGTGTATTGGGCACAAGTCTACATATCCAGGGGAGTTTTCTCGTTCCCTTTGCTTTTTAATGTTTTAGACTACGCCAATGAATGCATACATTGAGGACAATATGGTTCAAGTGTGGGGAGGGAATTAGTGTGGGGATGTGCGAGAGTGTGTTAGAAAGCGCTAAAATTTTCGAACTTTTGGCTTTATTTTGGGCATTTGTTAAGTGAATTGCATGAGTGACGATCTTCTTTATTTTCAATGCCATAAACATCATAGCATGAACGATTGTATGACTTACTTGTTAGTCGTGATTAGCATATTTGAGATAACTTTTGTGAAGCTCGCTAATTTTATAGACAAAATGCACCCGTGAGCTTTTGAGCCATGGTCGAACACTATTTTCGATACCATTTCATTTTTGTGTGCATTGCATATTCCATGTTCATCACACTCTAGAACTTGCGTTAGGTCTCTTCAAGATTGCATCTAGGCAATACTAGTGTGTGGAAATGACAAAGGCCATCTTTGATGTTTTTCTTTTAACCATTTAACCTAAAAGTCAACCTTTATTCATTTGTCCTTTTTGATCACCCTTTTGAGCCTAACCACCTACTTTCTTGACTTTAACACCACAAGTTAACCCGTAAGCCAAACACTTCTCTCACTGGACTTTGGAATGAGACTACATACTCTTAGTTAGAAGTGTTTGTTGTATGATCCTTATACCATCTACACGATTTTCAACACCTATATAATGATCGGTAGAAGTTCAAGAAAAAGAAAAAAAGGAGAAAAAGAAGAAATATATATATATATATATATATATATATGTTCCATATGTGGAAATGAGAAGGAAAAAAATGTATAAATGGAGACCGAACAATGGAAGAAACACAATTGTCTTCATAATGTTTTTAGTGAATAAGAGCTAAGAGATTGAGAAATTTTGTGATCGCTTTGTGGAATCGATGATAGGCACTAACATCTTAACCGGTATTGAATCAATGTTGGGTCTTTAATCAATTGTTTTAATTTATATTTTATCGCATGTTTAGAGTAAATAATCAAATCCAACACCCCCCATAATTATTAGTTTTTACGTTTTCATCATGTACTTGATTCGCTAGTCGTACAACGTTAGACCAAGTCTCTGTGGATTCGACCCCGCTTACACTACTACAATTTTGGTTGTAACTAGTCGTTAGTTGGACGACTTTATTATTTGGTGGACTCGACATCCGTCATAAATCTATGGTCGTAATGAGTTCAAGGTTTATCAAGTGCAACACTCAACAAATATGCCAATTTCATTCATAAAAGATTTAGCTAACACGAAATCTTTATAATCAATTTTCACCCACACATAAAAATGTTTAGTATCACTAATACATAATTGTGCGAAGTGACTACAAATGTCAAACACATAAATTCAATTAGTATAATGTATTTTATTTACCAATAACATTGACGGTAATAAAAGAAAATGCATCAAGAACGAAACATTAACATGGACCATTTTAGTCACATCATACACTTACTAACACCATAAGTATTAATAATTTCATGCACTAAACAACGTGTTACAGATCGTGATCGTGCAAAATTCAAGGAAAAATTATGCGACCAAAAGTTATCAAAATCTTCACCTCAAATAATAAAATAGCATCTCTATGTCTTTAGAAGATTTCTTCACTCGCCAAGCTTGTTTAAAATATTTTTCTTTCAAACCAAAATCTGAGACATAAAAAACCAGAATCAAAAAATTAAGATTTACAAGCATGTTTTGTAGGAAATTTTTCAATTCTTTTATGTTTCTAAGAATACCTTTTAGATTTGTTGTTTGAATAATAGGTATTATCAGGAACTTGTTTAGAAGTATCACCCTTGAAAAATTTAACTGGGATTTCCTTCTCTTTCCCTTTTAATTTTATATCATCAACAATAATCTTTTCTTTTTGGTGCCAAGTCAAACTTATCAATCTATTCGTTTGAACAAACGTTAGAATTCATGCAAGCAGAAAAATCAATTTCTTCAAAAGTTTTCACTTTATCAACTGAAGATTTTGAAGTAGAAGTTGATTGCATTTCAGAATCAGACTGTTGAAAAACATTTCCCCAAAATCTTTACAAGATACATCAGATTCAGTAGAAGAAACATTTGCAGGATCTTGAACTTGATTACATTTTGAAGCATTTGAAATAGACAGGTCAAGGTTTTTAATTTTCAACAAGAGTTGATTTTGTTCTTCTTCAAAAATTTATAATGTTAGAAATCTTTTCTTCAAGAAAAGGTGGAAAATACATTTTTTGTGCAACTTGATCTTTAGTAGGTTCCCAAATGATTTTGGGAAAGTTCTTCATTTGTGTAGCTTCTAAAATAATCATCCGACAAAGGTTGTCTTACATATGGATAAGTGTCATTGAGTTTCGCATACACAAATGAGAGTTGCATTTTATCAAGTCTTTTCCTGTTGAAATCTTATTTTGCCTCAATTTCAGCAGATGATTTAGTAAAATTCATTATGTATTTAGTGAAATCGATGTTGAAATAGTCGTTGGTCAACATGATGGCAAGAGGGTGTTTTTGCCGAAGATTCCTTTATGCCCATCAGAAGATGACATGTTCCCATTTAAGCTAAAGCAAAAGCAGTTTCCAGTTCGATCGAGCTTCACTATGACGATTAGATAAATCTCAAGGACAAACGATCCCAAACGTAGGTGTTTATCTGCCAAAATCGGTGTTCTCTCATGGCCAACTTTACGTCGCATTATCTAGAGGTATATCACAAGGAACTACAAAGGTATTGGTTAAACCTGCCAAAAATTTCAACCATCATGGAGTTTATACATCAAACGTGGTCTATCAAGAGGTTTTACACGATTAAGGTACTTGGCAATCATTGATTATTAAGCATTCATTACATTATGTATTTGTGTGTATATATAGTTACTTACAATCACTCTGTATTTCTTGCAGCCGATTCAAGACTTCTTTTTGAAGACATATATTTGATGAAAAGTTCATAACTTAATGAATCGATTTGGTTTTATTAGTTGTTGAACACTCTATTAGTTGTTATGGATCAGTGGATGATTTTTTTTGTTTAGATTGGTTGATTATGATTATGGTTTAAATTTTGTAGAGTACTTATTGAATTCGGAGTATTGATAATTGATCATGGTATTTGAATTTTGTAGAGTACTTTTTGAATTTGGGGCTCTGGTCCTTAAGGACTAGAAGAGCTCTGGTTGGTCTTGCTTTGTATGATGCAAGCTTTACCATGGGGTATTTTAGATCTCTAAAGACAAGTTTGCAGATTTAGACTTGTCTTGCAAACACATTTCAGATCTTTGAAGACAATTCTGCATATTTAGACTTCCATACTTGGCACACGTTTCAATAAATCCCACTAATTTAGGATGCAATTGATATTATTCTTCAGTTAATTAATTTGTGTGGTAAGTGATGAGTCGTGGAACTTTTATACAAAGAGGCTAAGTAGGAGACCTAGAGGCTCTGCATGTACTATGCAGAGATATGTGTTTGGGAGTTAAGTTATGTATCCAAGTACTTGGTTATTTGCACGCAAGACTTCGGTCTTCATGCCCTGTGTGTCAAAGCTCTGTATCTGAGCTCTGTATCTGAGCTTTTGGTTCTAGGCAACTTCATGACTAAATCCTCTTGGACTAAATCCTCGAGGACTAAATCATCTTCATACTTCGTCTTCATTTTTTTTTTTTTTTTTGACCAGAGGGCTTTTGGTTGGCCTTGCTTTTGGTTGGTGAGTCCAAAGGAGCTGTGGTCATTAAGAACCAGAGGAGCTCTAGTTGATCTTGCTCTGTATGATGCAAGTTTTACCATGGAGTTATTTCAAGAGTACAAGTCTGTAGAGCCATTCTTCAGAGTCATTTTTCAGAGTTATACTTCAGAGTTATTTCAAGAGTACAAGTCTGAAAAAGAAGAGTTCAGAGTTATTCAAATACCCAATATCTTTAAACATGAAGACCAACTAGAGTCCCTCTGGTTACTCCACAATTATTCAAGAGTACAAGTCTGAAGAGTCATTCTTCAGAGTTATTTCAAGAGTACAACTCTAAAGAGTCATTCTTCATAGTTATTCTTCAGAGTTATTTCAAGAGTACAACTCTGAAGTCATTTTTCAAAGTTATTATTTCAGACTTATACTAACACATTTAAGAGACCTAGAGATAAGTCTTGGAGACTAAAGATTAGTCTTGAAGACTAAAGTCGTGTCTGAACTCTGAAGTCTTCTTTTCCAGACTTAGCTCACCCGAACTCTGAAGCCTGAACTCTGAAGTCTTCTTTTTCAGACTTAGCTCAACCGAACTCTGAAGTCTTTCTTTTTAGACTTAGCTCACCAAAACTCTAAAGTCTTTTTTTTTTTCAGATTTAGCTCACCCGAACTCTAGATCTTTGAAGACAAGTCTGCATATTTAGACTTTCATACTTGGCCCACGTTTCAATCAACTCCACTAATTTAGGATGCAATTGATTTTATTCTTGGGTTAATTAATTCGTGTGGAAACTAATGAGTCGTGGAACCTTTACATAGACGGGCTAAGTAGGGGACCAGAGGCTCTACATGCACTATGTAGAGGCTCTGTGTCTAGGAGTTGAGCTTTGTATCCTAGTACTTTGATATTTGTACGGAAGACTTCGGTCTTCATGCCCTTTGTGTCCGAGCTTTGTATCTGAGCTCTTGGTTCCAGGCAACTAATGACTAAGTCCTCTTGGACTAAATTATCTTCAGACTTCGTCTTCATTTTTGTTGACCAGAGGGGCTTTGGTTGACCAGAGGGCCTTTGGTTGGCCTTGCTTTTGGTTGGCGAGTCCAGAGGGCTCTGGTCCTTAAGGACCAGAGGAGCTATGATTGATCTTGCTCTGTATGATTCAAGCTTTACCATGGGGTATTTCAGATATCTGAAGACAAGTCTGCAGATTTGGGCTTGTCTTGTAAACACGTTATTTTACTTTCCAATTTGTAGATCTCGCTGCATTACGGGTATACTACTAGTATCAATATAAATATATAATGGAATTCAATAAGTTATTGATATGATAAATTAAAATTTAATATTTTTAAATCATGAATTGTTGTTGAATTTGACTCGAATCTTAATGCATATTAATGAAAAAAGAAATTATTGAAAGACACTTAAGCATATAAAATGGAAAAAGATGCCTTAAAATATTCGACAGATTGATAAATGCACTATAAAAATTTAGTATATTCAATTTTAAAGTATATATATATTGATGTGTCTAAAAAAAAATTGTATGTTACTTGCGCGGTTTGTTGATTGTAAAAGGGGTTGCAAACTTGCAATGTGGTTACTCCTTTATTCCCCAAATTTATGTGGCGGTGGTCAGCCATCAAAGATTGTCAATACAACTTGAAAACATCACGAAGCCATAATCAATGGCCACTTCTTCCCCTTTCTTCCTCGCCAGAACCTCTATCTTTCACTCCATTAAACCCTTCTCCAATATCACTCTTTCACCCTTCAAAACCCCCCATTTTCACCTCAGATCAACCAGGGTTAGTAATCTCTTCAAATCTTATCGATTCAGGATAATTTCTTCGAATTTCAGAACTCCGTTGATGATTTGCTTGTTTTCAGATGGAAAGAAGTGAAATCAAAGCGGAAAACCAGGTGGGTGAGGATGGAAAGAAGAAGAAGAAGATATTCGTAGCAGGGGCCACCGGAAAAACTGGGAAGAGAATCGTGGATCAGCTGCTGGCCAAGGGTTTTTCCGTCAAGGCCGGTGTTCGTGATACCGATAAGGCTAAAACAACCTTCCCTAATCAAAATCAAGATCTTCAATTCGTAAGTGTTCTATAAACATGATGATGGCAATCGATCATTTTGTGGGATTTGTTCATTTGTTGAATGGAATCCATACATTTTTCAGGTGAAAGCAGATGTAACCGAGGGTTCAGATAAGCTAGCGGAAGCCATTGGTGATGATTCAGATGCTGTCATATGTGCTACTGGTTTTCAGTATTCATGGGACTTATTTGCTCCATGGAAGGTTTCATGCTTGTTCATCTTTCACTTCTCATTTTACCAATTTACTGGCTACTCCTGCATAGGGGTGTTGCTTTTATCGAGCTGCTTGGGCTCGCGCTGGTACGTCTTAAGCTCGAGCTTAATAATTCTCGAGCTCAAAGTCAATCTCGAACACATAATAAAGTTCGTTTATTTTAACGAGTCAGGCTTCATAACACTAATGTTTGACTCGATTGTTCAAAATATCTATCAAATTTTTCGACCCCAGACATTATTCATATGTTCATATATCATAGAAGCGAAATGTATAAAAAACATGGAGCTCAAGCCCGAAGATGATTTAATCAATCTCGAATTCAAGCCCATAAACAAGTTTTATAAACCTTTAATTTTAGGTATAATATATAACTCAAATTTGTTAAAGGATCATCAAACTTGAACATTGAAAAAATATTAGCTTTTGAGCTCGAGCCTGATATTATTTTCTCGAGCAAACTTGAACTTGGCTTGGGTCGGCTCGTTAACACCATTGGCAAACTAGCTGACTCCCAGTTGAAAAAGTTGTTGTTGACCAATAAGATAATTGGTAGTCATAAACTAGTCATGTTAAAGCGTTGTTTGGCGGTTCCTGAATGATTTGGTGCAGAATGATTAAGTGGTTAGAATGATTAAGAGGCTCTTATAATATAGTGCAAAATGAAATATAATTGTTTGGTAATTATTCAAAATGAAATTAGGGCGCTAAATGGTTAAGGGAGGCCCAAGATACAAAATCATTCAGAGAGTTTTAGAACCATTAAGAGGCAAGACTTTTTTCTTTACCAAACAAGATTCACCTCTTAGCGATTCAGAGAATGCATGTTAATGTAAGGGGCTGTTTGTTTGGCTCTTAATGTCACCATTAAGAGCCAACCTCTGAATCGGTCAGAGGTAAAATGTGTTTGGCAAAAAAAAAAACCCCTCTGAATCGTTACACAGACCTCTTAACCATTTTGAGGGTGGGGGGCTACTCAACCATTCAGATTACCATTTCTTCCATCAATACCCTTCCTCACCCACCAAGCAGTTGCGCCCATTTCAGATCTCCCCCTGGTCGCTCCCTTTCTTCTTCCCCCTTCCATTCCCCATCGCTGCACCGCTTCTTCAATCACCTCGTCGGTCCTCGTCGGTGGACGGATAAATGACAGGAGAACGGCCTCCGTAACCTCCTCGGTGATACATCGAGTCGGACTTGGTCCGGCTAGGAGTGAAGGATCTGTAACCTCCTCGGTGATACATCGAGTCGGACTTGGTCCGGCTAGGAGTGAAGGATCTGTAACCTCCTCGGTGATACATCGAGGAATGAGCTGCTTGTAAGACGATGACGACGAGGATGACGAAAAAGGACTCGACGGCTTGCGATGGTGGAGAGAGGGAGAGAGAGAGACTGTATGTGTGCTCCTTCTTTTTCAAGGTGAGAATTGCAGAGGGTAGAGAGAGACAAATCCCTAAAACTATTGAAGATGATGAGTGGGAGGGACTGTGGGAGCCTGAGAGGGTTTTCTTTTAATTTTTTTTAATTTGAATTTCAAAGGGTTAAATCATTCATAGGGTTAAAATGGTAATTTTACTGCCATTCAGATAACAGTTACCAAACAACATTATTTCATTCAACATTTAACCATTCTGACCCTCTTAACCATTATGACCTCTTAACTATTCTGCACTAAATCATTCAACAACTGCCAAACAGCCCCTAAGAGGTAAACAAACAACCTCTTAGTAAAATGATGACAATAACAATGTAAAATGATGTACATGTTGCAAAATTAATTGAGAAAATATTATCGGAAAAAATAGGAAAAAGATTCAAAAAGAGCTTATAAGCTGGTTTATAGCTAACCGAACAAGAGTTTTTCAATAAGCTAAAAAAATAAGTTAACTTATGGTTGTCAAACTTGGCCAAGTACGGTAATCTTGGGGAATCCTATGTTTCAGGTCGATTATTATGGGACCGTAAACCTAGTTGAAGCATGTCGGAAAGGTGGCGTGAGCAAGTTTATCCTCGTAAGTTCTATATTGGTCAACGGTGCTGCAATGGGCCAGTTGCTGAATCCAGCTTACATAATCCTTAATGTTTTCGGATTCGTTTTGGTGGCAAAGCTGAAAGCAGAGGAATACATACGGAAATCTGGTATTGATTACACGATCATAAGGCCCGGTGGCTTAAAAAACGACCCACCAAAGGGCAACATTGTCATGGAACCAGAGGTATACATCTAAAGAATCCTACCTTTTTACTAAACATCTTGGAACAGAACATAACTTTGACTTTTTCTAGTCAAAACGATCAATTTTCAAATTCAAAAATGACATGATTTTATTTCCGTTTTAAACGTTCAATGTTTGTTATCGACACTTCTTCGTATACGATATCAGGGCATGGTCACGTTTACATTCATATCTAATCGAATCTGCAAACATTCGCATCCTAACATTGGCTCGTTTGACCTCGAAAGTCAAACTGTATTAGAAGCACTCTTTTTTGTTCATTCTTTGGATTGCGTCCATCTCGACTAATCCCATCCCATGACCTCCAGTGGTTCTGAGAAGACTTAAACTAGGGTCCACCAAGGAACAAATACCAGTTGAGCTTTCCTAAATGCATCTTACATTTCTTTTTTATAGGATACGCTGTCCGAAGGATCAATATCAAGAGACCAGGTAGCGGAAGTGGCGGTTGAGGCCCTGCTTCATCAGCAATCTTCATACAAAGTCGTGGAGATAGTTGCTCGAACGGAAGCTCCTAAAAAGACATTTGAGGAATTGTTTGGTTCCATCAAAGAACGGTAATTTGTGTGGAACTAAGTATCCGTTATATTTCTATGCCATTCTATACGGTCGTATGTACCTGGCTTTCAATAAAAGATGCAGTCGGGTATACCGCATTACATCATCATTAGCTCAACTGAACGTTGGTTTGAATGAAATATTCAAATTCTGGGGATCAAACATGACCGATTATGTATGATAAACACAGGCGGTGCTGTATTGTTGTGATCCAACGGATACTAAAATTTTGTTTGAAACCAAGAATTAAAAATTAATGTAATTTCTCTGGCTATTGCAAATTGCATGAAACTTTGACTTGATTCATATTTTGGGAAACGTACTTTCAAAACTTTCATCTTTGTATCTAAGATGTAAAGTTTAAACATTTAAGTATCTTATTCGGGTACTTAAATGTTTAAAACTTTACATCTTAGGTACAAAAATGAAAGTTCTGAAAGTACGTTAACCAAAATATGAATCAAGTTAAAGTATGTTAATTTTTCATGTGATTTACCCTGAAAAAAAAACATTATTTGAAAAAAGGATTTACCCTAAAAAAAACAACATTTGAAATTTATGCTTGAAGAAAATAGAAATGACAATCGTCTATAATTATACATCTATGCATAAATGATTAAAGACTTGAGATCACGGGAAACTAACCTGTTTTTTTACTTTTTTACACTTGAAACTTCACAATAAAATGCTGTAAAAGTAACCTTCAAGTGTTTAACTTAACTTTTGATATTTATACTTCTTCAGTGTTGAAATAAATGTGCATAATTAAAAAGAACAAGATGTATAATTACTACCATATTTTAATTAATTAAATGACAATTTGAAAATCAACATTTATTTTAGGACAAACTAAAATAATAGATAAATATGGAATTACATTTCAACAATCACTCATCAAACACAACAGTAAGACACTTTGTGTTGATTGAAAGACCTAAAGTATCTGACCCAATGGACTAGTTAGACCAAATATGTCAGATATCATGATCGCATTACTCGATCAACTACCCTTTTCTTTAGGCACTTGGTTAGTAGATGTCTTGAACCAAGGTATCCACACAGAGGTTCTCTTTTGGTACATTTTGTATGCTTCAACTCTATACTCTTGTTTCAACATCTTTCTTTCAACAAGTATGGTGACATAGGCCAAGCACAAGCTATTAACCAATGCACCAACAAACCCCCAGGTGCACCCTAGGTTCCACCCAAAGATGACCACACCCCACCACCATAACTGTTCACCAAAGTAGTTTGGGTGTCTAGAATAGTACCATAAGCCTTCATCAAGATTGGCCACCCTTGGCTTTCCAACCTCTTTTAGCTTCTCGTTTTTGGTCACAAATCTGTGGAGTTGTGTGTCTGCAAAATGAGCATAAATGATGCCGGTTATGCAGACGAACATCGCGGCTATGTCCCATACATTCAATGGTTGGTTCACCGTGTGGACGGTGTACAATGGTATGCATATACCGATTAGAAATACCTGCGTAAACATCCAGTAATTATCATAACAATATATGTATTTCAAAACCACAAACCCGTTAGAATACTAAAAGTGAATTTTTTTTTTTAAATGGACGGAAATTTAATTAAAACCAAAATAGTGGGGACCAAGTGATTCTGAATGAACTTATTTTATATGTTATTTAAAATCTTCCTGTAAATTTCTAGAAAGCATCTCTAATCGTAGGCTCTTAAAAGCATCTTTAATGGAAGGTTTTTATAAGTAAAAAATATAGATTCTTATAAGAATCATCATGAGAGAGATTTTTTACAATACGCTCACATCTTTGGAGTTCTTATACAACAACCTTGACTTGTCCCTTGAAATTCGTGTAAAAACTGTAACGAGATCTTAACAACTTTTATATGTTTTGACATTCTAACTAATGATGTTAGAAAAAATAAATAGGACCCAGAAAATGGGTTCTTAAAAACCACCATTGTGAAGTTTTATTTAGATTTTTAATTTGGTATTGATGCGACAAAAAATTACAAAAAGTAATTTTCTATAAGAATTTTCATTGGAGATGCTAAGCAAAAACCATAGTGATTTTAGAAAAGATTTTTTGAATCTTGAATTTTATGTGTAATTATATTTTATTAGTTTTTTTTTTAATAACTACATTATTAATGTTGAATTAATGCATAAGCAAGCTTCCTATTAGGAGTTTGACGGTCTGCTGAATTAGAGCATCTCCTTTAGATTTCTTAATATTTATTCAAAATTGAGAATCAAAAATCAAAATCTCTAAAAAAAAAATTACATTCAACTTCAACAACAAATTCTCTATTACGAAGAATCCAACATTAATTATAATATTCAAATAATTCTATTAAAATATTATTTCTTTCTCTAAATGCTTATTTTCAAAGTTTCAGTGCTCAGTTAGGAGCAGTTTACTAAACGTTTATTTGGTAAGTGTTTGCCGAATAAATTTCTTTATCGGATGAATATGACAAGGGTCAAGAATCTTACCGAATAAGAACGATGAAAATGATGGAGAGTCTTACCCGGTAAATGAAGATTACGACTCTTACCCTGGCAAGCACTTACCTGATAAATTGTTACATTCAATACATTTTGATGTACTAAGATCTTACTCATCAAAATATAAGGGGGTTGATATCCCCACCCCCTGACGTCACTTCCCACCCCCTCCTCCTCACATCTTTCCCTCACTCACATCCTCACATTCACCGAATTTTTTAAAAATTTAATTTTAAATTTACATTTCATACCCCTGTAATTAGATAATTAATTTACTTTATATCATTTCCTTTTAAAATTTTCATTTTACACCCTTATCAAATTAACGCACATAATTATATATCAACTATAACATGTTTAAAAAATACATTTTTATTTTAACAAATTACATCATTATAATCGTCTCGTTAATACCTTCGAAATGAGTCCAATATTGAATAGTTTTTGAATTAATTATATTATTATATATTATATATAATATGAAAAAATATTTTTAATATTTATATTTTATACTTT